ATCGACTTCGTCAAGGCTCTCTTCATGGACGAGGACGGTCATCAAATAACGCCGTATTTACGACCAAGCCGCAGGATATTACGATCCCCGACTATCTGTCGGCGGGGACGCGCTGGACGACAGCCTGTCTTATATGGCTGCCGAGACAACGTACACACAGTCGACGAAGAGGCGGAACTCAAAATATTCTGCCGCTTGGTTGTATAAGACGGCGTTGATTCGCTGGCCGTACTCGTCGATGAAGGGGGTCTTGACGACGTTGAACGGTCCGAGGTGCGGGTGCTCTGCATGCGCGTAGGGCGTTTTCGCCGGTAGGTGTAGCTTCAATGTCGCGGTGGGGATGCCCACGATCAGCGCTGCGACCAAGTGGCTGATGTCGCGGGACGGGGGGTGAGGTCGGCGTCGACGGCTCGTTGGGATCGACACGCGGCTTCTTGGCCCCGGGTGTTGCGTCGGCCGCCGATCTTTTACCGGTCTTGGTCTTGCTGGCGGCGCGGGCTCTCGCTGCGTTGCTCATATTGAGTTGTGGACAATTTGGAAGTGCGTCGATCTTATCGTACCATTGGTGGTGAGGCACGAGCTTCTCGAACGCTCGTGTGTGCTAAAGGCAAAGCGGGAAGTGGCTGTTTTTCGAGTGACGACTGCCGCAGGTCTGTGTTGTACTGCCCCACATCAACAGGGTTTTCCCGTAGGAAGAAACGCACCAAGTGACGCATCGCCTCATCCCGGTCGACTGACTTGGTCTAGGCTCACAAACCTACAGTAGATATGCGGCGCAGTAGTAACCAGAGAGATTCATACCAGTAGAGACGCCTCCTACTCGCGTAAAGTCGATACTGTTCAAACGCTCTTACAAATAGGACTGGGTTTGAGTGTACTCAATTAAAAAATATGACTGGGTTTGAGTGGTTTTCATGATTTGCTTTGGTGTGTTGATGCACTCATTGAGCTACGGATGTCCTGTCCATGCAAGTGGCGAGCCTTGTAGCACACGGGCGGAAAGTCTGGGCATGCTGCGCTCTTTGGACTCTATACAGCGAGCCCCAATTCCCAGATACTTTCAAGTAATTGCGTTCATAAGCTGTGTATAATTGCGTTCATAAGCTGTGTATCCTAGTTGCTTAGAGCTGGCTCAGCGGAATTGCGACCTGAAATCGCTCGGGCTGCGTCGGGTCTTTCGACGACGCACACGAGAAGAGCCGCCACGTCTTGATGTCAAAAATGTACAACTTGCCATGGTACTCGAGGCTCAATAAACCAGCGAGGACGGCCGACGTCTTGTCGAGATAATACTCCCCCTTGTACTTCCAGTTTGTAAAGTCCAACATGTAGACGCAGTGGGCGTTGAGGAGGAGCGAGTGGACGCCAGGCGGTGCCAAGCCTCGCAGACGCCATCGATCCCAGCCAAACCAGACGCAAATGCAACTTAGAGCAACGACGACGACGCCAAGGACACCGCTGGTGGAGCCAATGTGGATAGATGCGCTCGAGCAAAGGAGTCCAGCGTCCATGTCCACAAAAGTGCAGTGTCGGTGCAGTGTCGCCGAGTACGAGAGTGGTGCGACGAAAGACCAAACAACCAAGATGAACCACGTCGCGAGTGAGCTCTTGTACGCGTACGCTGTCGTATACTGCAAAGTGACGCAGCTGCCAATGTCATTGAGGGCATAGACGAGCCACGTGACTTCCGAGGCGGCGAGGATTGTTTGGTACCACGGAAGTTGCGGGGACGTAAAGTGCGTCGCGTGTCCCACTTGCGTCAGCAGCAATGGCGCCGTGTTGAGCATCCAAATCGCCGTGACGCTCCGTAGCAAGATAAAACTGCGCCCGGCCCAGACGTGGCCCACGACCCGGTTCAGCTCAAAGAGGTTGTTGGCTTCCATGCCGACGCCGCGCGTACCGAGGATGTAGACAGCCAGGATGCACGTGACACCAATGAGAATCGATGTAATGTAGACCGTCGAGCCAAGCACCACGAGCGAAACACTTGTGGGAACCTCGTACGGGTCTGGGGTCTGCGCCAAGGCGGGGTACGCGGTCGCGATCGTGGTGATGCTCCCAGCGTCACCTTGAAAGGAGACGACTTCGCGGCCGCCATTCAGCCACTCGAAGAGGAATAGCCAGCCGTAAAAGGTCCAGAGACGCTCGCTGGGCTCAAGGAGGTTGATCTGGTACAGCTGCGTGTCGGTATCTGTTGTATGAGAATAGTACTGGGTTGTTTGAATGTCAAGGGCCAGAAGATCCGCGACGCTGGCTTGAAAGAGCGGTGTCAAAGAGGAGAAGGAGTCGTTCATGTGCTCCTCCAAGAAGGCGACGAGCGTGTTGAGCGTCGGCGCGCAGGTCGCCCCCGCACACGCGTCCAAGCGACACAAGGCGCTTGCGTCTGCGCTGACCATTGGGCCGTGGGATGCATTGAAAGCAAGAAGAGCAAAGAAGAGCTCTGCTGTGGAAGGCAGCAGCGTCTCGAGGAAGAGAGCATGGCACGCATTCGCCTCGCCAAAGCTGTTGAGAAGACCGTAGCTCGCAGGTTCCAGAGGGACGTCGTTGCCGCACATAAAACCACCACCACTTACTTGCGTCAGCGGATTGATGAGCAAGGCGGGTGGCACCGCGCAGACGCGTGACCTTGCTGGCACCGACAGGACGGTAGCCTGTGCGACATGGTCCAACGCCATAAGCGTGTTGAAGCTGGCGAAGAATGCAGCATAGACAGCAACGGCCGATGCAGGAGGTGCCACGTAGTGCATATCGACAGCACCAAACGGCCCGATCGTCGCCTGTAGCACGATCAAACCAGGTGTCAATGGCTGAGGAAGGGTTAGGTTTTGAAACAAGACGGCTTGACTCGAGACATTCGTAAACGCAAAGCGAGGACTCGATGCGAGGAGACTGTAGCCTCCAATCAATGACGTGTTGGTAGCAATGGCCCAGAGATCGCTCGCGAACGCCCAGTACATTCGGTTGGATGTCTGCTGCAGAAGATGAAAGCTGGCATCCGACCGACTCAGCGTCAGCGACGACGTGTAGCCTAGCGCAGATGTGATTGAGAAGGTGTCGACCATGCCAATCGTCTTGTAGTTTTGCCACTGCAACTGGAATCGAGTTAGGTTGTAGCGACGCCAGAGAGCCACTTCGTCATTGACCGAATTGGTGTTGAGTTTGAGATTCGTGAGCCACTGCTGACCGCGTTGCGAGGTCTGGAGGTGCGCAACAAAACCAATCTCAAACGAC